ATATATAATGTAGGTCTCACTGAGTTGCCGAGGCTATGTTCAAATTTGTGATCCTATAGCCTCAGCCTCTCAGCGTGCAAGATCACAGCTATGCAAAACCATGCCCAGCCTATCAGTGTATCACCTTCATGTCTGTGATGTGGAATATCTACAATGTCAAATGAAATGTTTCACTGGAAGGAATTTGCAGACTAATTAAAAAGTTTATTATGCCCCAATTTTGTTATTTTTAAATTTCAACCTTTTAAAAAATGTCCATGTCTCCATAAACAGAGCATATAAAAAATGACTTAATAACCAGACATGGTAGCAGACGCCTGTAATCCCAGCACTCGGGAGGCTGAGGCAGGAGGATCGCTGTGAGTTTGAGACCAGCCTGGGCTACATAGTGAGTTCCAGGTCAGTCTCAACTACATAGTGAGACCCTGTCTCAGAAAAAAAAATACTTAATATATAAAATGTTAAGTTGGTAGCAGTGCAGTAAATACAGCCTAACCCTCATTTTACAGATGAAGAAATAGTAGTCACAGCCGGGCGTGGTGGCCCACGCCTGTAATACCAGTACTCGGGAGGCTGAGGCAGGAGGATCGCTATGAGTTCAAGACCAGCCTGGGCTACATAGTGAGTTCCAGGTCAGTCTCACTACATAGTGAGACCCTGTCTCAAGAGAAAGAGTCACATCTTTACCTAATCACAGACCCAAGGCTTGAACACAGGTGGTCCTGACTCTTAAGTAAAACAGATTGTACAGTGTATGATAGTCCTCAGATTTTTCAGTATGTGTATTATTATAATGTGCCATAAAGTACAGCTGATCCAGGGCTGGGGATTTAGCTCAGTGGTTCTGCCACCTGCCTTGCAAGTGCAAGCACCTGAGTTCAGTCCCCAGTACCAAAAAAAAAAGTATAGCTGATCCATATAAGAAACAGCAATGTGTGACAATGGATAGGCAGAATCACCTTGGAAATGTTGAGAAATAGCATATTGATCAGTTGCATGAGACGTGTCCTGCTCTAATTAGGCAGGTTTTATCTTTAATGAGTATTTAAAATTCCTATGTTGATATACCCTTGGAACTGTTGAAGTTTATAGTGCTGTTTGAGGCTATAATGAAAGGCTGAGCTACTCTGCTTTTCCAATTACAGTTTTATGCTTTACTTCCAGCGGTCACGTCTCTACTAAATTGGTCATATAGTCTCCTGTTAACTGCTTTTTATCTGTTGTCTGCTATTATATTCAACAGACAAGACTGGGTTCATGCCCCTTAACTTTGTTTGCAGCTTCAGAAAGTTACAACTTCTTAAATTTCTTTTTTGTTTGTTTTTTTCACACAGGGTCTCACTATGTAGTTGAGACTGCTCTGGAACTCACTATGTAGCCCAGGCTGGTCTCAAACTTACAGCAATCCTCCTGCCTCAGCCTCCGGAGTGCTGGGATTACAGGCGTGTGTCACCACGCCCAGCTCAACTTCTTTGATTTTTAATTTGTCTTAAAATTAGAGATTTTTATAATTCCTGCTTTATATACTCCTGGTCTTTCTTTACATGTGACAGTGATAACTTCTCTTATAATTTCACGTATATCTGGGCATGGTGATGAACACCTGTAAATCCCAGCACTCAGGAAGCTGAAGCAGGAGGGGACACTGAGGCAGGATGAGCGCTGCAAGTTCAAGGCTAGCCTGACTCAGTCAGTCACTATCTCAAAAAAAGAAAAAAATGGAATTGTAATTACCAGTGCTTTCTATTTTATTTCCAATAATTCTGTTATTAGTCAACATTTAAGTGATCATTGGCACTGAGGGAGCACATTGGGCTTAGAACTTTAGCAAGTGTCCCTATAATAAATTGTAACCACTTATAATTATTTGGAATCTGTTCCTCTTCACAGTGTCACTTTATGTGAAATGTCAGTTGAGCAGATGGCTGGTACCCACGGCTGTGCAGCAGCACTTTTCTGTGGAGAACAGCTAGCTGGGGCACGATTCCCTTGTGTGTGACGATGGCGTTGTGAGCTAGAGCCTTGCTCTCAGCCCTGTAAGCTAAGAAACAAGACAAGATCCATTTTAGAGAGGTGGACTTATATCCACTGCATTCTCCAAAACTAGCTTATAAAAACAAGCCTCAGCAAACCAACTTATAATCAGAATGCTAACGTATTCATTTAAAGTAAGATCTATAAATGCTAACAGGACAGGACGTGAACACCCCCTTATCAGTACATTCCTTCTCTCTAGAAGGGGAAGTACCTGGGATACCATCGTGTAATCCGAACATAAGCAGAGCTGGGAATTTAGCTCAGTGGTTCCTCCGCCCGCCTGGCAAGCACGAGGACCCAAGTTCAATCCCCAGTACCAAAAAAAAAAGCAAATCTAATACCTGCATCCACAGTAGAGCGACAGCTGCCACTGGAACTTGTTTTGGTTGGGGTCTTCCTACTCTGGACACAGCACTGTCCACATTTTTCTCTGTGACTCTTGCTGAGCACCTCCTGTCAGCACCACCTGAATAACATTTTCTTTGGATAGATTCATATTGCAGTCCTTGTATACTCAGGCTTACCAGCTTTGGAGCCATTATGGTCTTTACTTCTTTGCCTCTTTCTCCTTTAGTTTTTATTAATTCTGAAGCTTGGCTCTCAGAAAGTTTCCTGGCTAACTTCCACTTGCCAGGGTCCCCAACCCTTGGGCCACAGATCAGTACCTACCCATGCATGGTCTGTTAGGACCTGGGCTACCCAGCAGGAAGTGAACAGCGTTCCATGCAGCAAACCTTCCTCTGTAGTATTTACAGCCACTCTTCATTGTTTCTCCCCACAACTCACATTACCACCAAACCTCACCCTGCTGTGAACTACACATGCAAGGGACCATCCTTCCCCAGCCCACCCTACCCACTCTCTGTGGAATATTCTCTTCCCTGCCGAAGAGGGTAGGAACCACCGCACTGTAGTTTCCAGAAACAATTTTGTGTCTTATTCATCAAAATTTATTTCCACTTTTTACTTACCATAAATATCTTTCATAGTTTTCCTGGAGTTTATCTGCTTAAAACTTTAGTCTTTCAATAACTTTGTTTGGGCTAGGCGTATACCTCAGTGCTAGAGTGCTTGCCTAGCATTCATCAGGCCCTGAGTTTGATTTCAGCAGTGAAGGGAGGGGGGACACCTCCATCAACTGTGTTTTTGGAAATTTATCATTTATTACTTCTTCCAGGTGTTCTTGGATCCTGTAATGTCTGCTCCCAAAGGGACTATAATAATTATAATTTAGAATCAAAATTTTAGCACATAAAGTGAGGGGCTCATTATCTGGTCAACTTCTAGATAGTTCATTTAATGAGTAAGAAAAATGAAATGACTATACCAAAAGTTTGCTTACCACAGCCTTTGCTTTTTAATACTGTGATGAAGCCACCATCAAACCAGATACCTCACTGTATAAATAAATTAATGAGCTAGTCTCCAAAGGTGATGAGAGCTGGGGTAGAACTTGGAAATGTCCTTGATCAAACCTCAGAGCCCTAAAAAAACTTGGCATAGAAGGTCCTGGCCAAGAGTGCTTTGGGCTCAATCTTTTTTCACACTTTGTCACTTCCCTTTTCATCCTTTTCATTTACTTTTAATGCTGCATGGTCTTTGTCATTTCAGAAACAAAGCAAAAATGGGTACAGCACAGACTGAGAGCATTCTAACTCTTAAAGGAGTTTCTTTCTTTGAAGTAGTACAGAAGGAGCGTAAGATCTTCATTTGCCTTTTCTTCTGCAAATAGCCAGTCTACTGACGAGAAGACTTTGTTCTCTAGTGCCTGCCTGTCACTGGAAGATGGCCATAAGGCACTGCTTGTAAAACAGCAACATGACAATTACAGATTCCACTGAAAGGCACGACTCTCATTAGTGTGAAAGCAGTGAGAGGTGACAGCACTGCATACTGACAGAGCATTTACTTCTTCTAGAGTAGTAGTTCTGACACTTATGCCAGCCTCAGTCAAGCATATTTTCTGCTGAAGCTGCTTTAGTGCTTGCTTAGTGCTGAAGGAAGGATACCTCTTCACAAACTGACTCTTCATCTTTCTTACACATCACTGATCCTGGCTCATCTCTGAAGAAAACAACCAACTTCTGAGGCAGGCTGGCTGTGGGATGGAGGAGGAGAGCCAGGCCGTCATCCCCTTGTCCTTCTGATCTGTGCCGCCTTTCTTGTGGCATCAACTTGCTGCCCTGGGGCTGTCCACAGCCCCTCCCAACACTCGCCAAAGCCCTCCTGACCTGGCCTCTCTGGGAACTTCAACCTTTTTCCTTTCTCCTGCTTCCCATGAGAAATCCCACCTTTTAGTGTCTGGATATTAGAAAATGTGGCTTTATAAACTTTATATACTTCATAAGTTCTTGATTACATCAGATAATTCACTGGGGAAGTGGTATGATTTTGTAATTGCTGCTATAGAAAAGTTTGGGGGTTTTGTTGGTTTGTTTGACAAGGTCTTGCTATACAGTTGAAGACAGCCTTGAACTTTTAGAGCCCAGATTGGCCTTAAATTCAGGATACCATACCTCACTTTGAGTGCTGAGATTACAGGCATGAGCCACCATGCCCAGCTAGAAAAATTTATGAGGGCAGCTTCGGACTCAAAAGATATTTTTAACTTGCTTTGTACAAAGCCCTGGAATTAGAGAGCTAGGCTGAGCTAATATAGATCTATTTTATTTGCTTGGCGTACTGGGTTTCTCAGGTAAGATTTAATGACAGAGGGTTTTGTGACTAGAAAGAATTTGGAGCCTACTGGTCAGTTACCTCAGAGATCTCTTCTGTTGCCAGTTTAGGAAGTTTTACAGTTTTGTTCCTGTCATTTCAGTGCCGTATTTCTTTACCTTAGCTTTCCTGTATTATTGTATTTTGAAAAATGTATGAAAAGGTCTTTGCTTACTTATAAACATCTTCTCTATAAATGAAACTTTATATTACTTTTCATCATTATTACAGATGAGTAAAAATAAGCTTAAATGCTTTGCTTTTTTGTTTTGTTTGGGTTTGGTTTTTTGGTCTCACTATGTACTTGAGACTGACCTGGAACTCACTATGTAGTCCAGGCTGGTCTTGAACTCATAGTGATCCTCCTGCCTCAGCTTCCCGAGTGCTGGGATTACAGGTGTGTGCCACCACGCCCGGCTTAAATGCTTTTTTATTTTCTCCCCAGTATTACCTGACCCGGATTTGAACCCTAGCATTTCTTTGTTATGTGACTCCAAAAAAGTTACGTTAACTTCCTTATGCCTTCTGTCCTTCCTCACCTACCAAGTAAGCATCTTCACCAAGGTTGCTGTGAGATTTCAGTGTGATAATGTACTCAGTAAAATTAGGTGGTATTATTGCAGCAGCTCCCCCCACTTAATTTTTCAGAGCTATTCTCAACTAGATGATTCTGAGTTGTAAAGAAGTTTTTCAGAATTTAACATTAACCTGTTAATGTTCAAAAAGTTTTGTAATTGTAGACAGCTGGGTATTTTCCTTGAAATGTTTGTGTTGTGATTGACCTAAAGTCTTTATTCTATGGGCAATGTACCTTAGTGCTATGAAATGGTTTTCTGTTTGACTCATTCCTGTGTAACTTCTACTAATGCTGCCCTAGAGAGAAAGTTTTTGAAGTTGCAGTGATACACTAAGAACCATTATAAAGTAGGCAAGAAGTGCTGTTAAAAGCTTGGTTTCGTTTTGTCGCCCCATTTTGGTAATTGGATAAACATCAAAATGAAAAATAAAGATCTTATAATTGTCTACTTAGAAATCTCCAAGAAAATAAATGATGAAACTAGTCAGAATTTCTGCAAGGTAGTAGAATGTGATACCGTTGTGGCAGGAATTATATGCAGTTACCTGGTGATGAACAAATTAGGGTTTTGGTCTCATTTAAAACAGGTCATAGGGCTGGGGATGTAGCTCAGTGGTAGAGTGCTTCACTAACATACATGAGGTCCTGGGTTTGACCCCAGTGTTGCATTTAAGGAAAAAAAGGTCATCGGGAACTCAGGATCCTTCTGTCTGCATCATCTCCCTACTACAGTGGCCCCTTGACTTATGAGTTCAATTTGTTCTCAAGGGCTGGTTGTAACTCAGGTTGGTCAGTTGAAGGCGCTCAGGCTTCATAGTCTCTCCTGGGTATAGGCAGATCTCAGTTTAGACATTGGCCCAGGATTTCTCAGTTAACTCCACAAAGAAAAGCATGTTGTAATGTTTCTTCCAGAACTCTTCAAGGGTTAAATCTGTTATCTAAGACCATCTGGAAGCACAAGTGACCAGCATTCAGGTTGTAACTCAAGGGTCTACTATATGTTGTCACCCTCAACATCATAAAATGTTGCCAGAATTCCAGCCATCACATCACAGTTCCAAGCATAAAGAGCAAAAACAAAAAGTCACTCCTCAAACTAAGTCAGTTCTCTTGAAGTTTATCTGGAAGCTCTACTCAATGACTTCTATCATTCATAGCTGCAGAGAAAGTTGGGAAATGGGAAAACATTTCAGCTGTATAACCAACTAAAGAAGATCGTCTGTTAATAAGCAACTATCATTCATAGATGGAGCCCATTCAGATACCAACAAGAACTGTAGATGCTTTGCAAATCTAGCAGCAAAAGTATAGGAAGATATATGAAATATTGCTAATACAAACTTGTGAACCAAAAAGATAAACATATTTCTAGATGAAAATATGTGATAAAGGTATCTGTTCTCTGGAAACTATTATCTAATTTTGATGCAATCTTAAAATGTTCAACATGATGTTTATGGGCTTGATAAAAATAGATCTAAAGTTCATCTAAAACTTTCCACCTGCTAATACACCAGAAAGTCCACAAGCAGACCTGTTTTTCTGGAAATGTATTAAGTAATAATCAAATTAGAGAAAGAATGGACTGTTCTTTATCTGCATTACTTCGTATAATAATTACCCGCCACAACTTTCTGTTTATAAGATTTAATATGCTTATAATCCCAGCCCTTGGGAGGCTGTGGCAGGAGGATTGCAAGTTCGAGCTCAGCCTGGGCAATTTAGCAAGACCCTATCTTTAAAAAATTTAAAAAGAAAAGTCAGACATCGTGATGCAAGCCTGTAATCCTAGCACTTAGGAGGCTGAGGCAGCAGGATCACCATGAGTTCAAGGCCAGCATAAGCTACATATCCTGTCTTAATTAAAAAAAAAAAAAAAAATTTAAAAAGGGCTGAGGACCAATATCTGTGAAAAATTAACCACCGTTTTCCATTACAAGGTTACAACTTCCCCAAGGTAGGTCTTTTCCAAACTTGAGGGATTTTCCTGCTCAGGACCTATTTTTGAGAGATAACGTGACATTGATTTACCTTCTAAGCACATTCTTGATGTGAGCTACAGGAACTCTATGTGGAATCAAAGTGCTTTTGATGCCCTTCTAATTAACGCTACTAAAGGAATTTCACAAGGCTGTGGGTAATATTTTAAGTACTTCTGCTTCAGGATGACTGCTTCTTGGAGGAGTGTGCTTTGCCATCATCGATCCAGTTAATTCCCCTATTCATGTAGCAGGTTTTTTATTTTAGCAATATGGCTTCCTTGGACCCGAGAGCTGCCAGCAGACTTGTATGTGCTATATAAAACACTGCGTGAACCCCATTCTCCTACCTTCATAAAAGTTGATTTCTTCTTGCATTGGCAGATCTTTTTGTAAGCCTGGCAAATGATTCCCAACATCTTTCCTATTATACAACCTAATCTAATGATTTCAAAAAACTTCACAATTCTCAAGTTCACATAATTTAAATATATTTAAACATAGGAACATGTAATTTGTCATGCACTACTGTCATGGAGATCGTAGGTCCAGAAAGATCTCAGGGCATACTATTAAGACTTAAGGGTGTTGGAATAATTAGAAACTGTACCTAAGGTACAATGAATTCATTAACATGAAAAAATACAATGTGAGCAGGAAATATATAATTCAGAAAGTACAAATTAAACTGTAGCAAATAAGAGTAATTTGAGTCTGTTACCTTTGATAACCCATAAAATCTGGATAATTTACCTGATAAAGCCAACAAAATTCAGCAGTTTTTGTAGTTCCCACATGATGGTAAAACCTAAGCAGCAAAAGATCAGTTTTCTTCTTTAAGGAAAGTGTTGAGGAATGTGATGATTGTATCGGGTAAGGAGAAAGGAGTATAGTGTTGGGTGACTTCCCCTGTGGAACGTTCTTTGAAAAAAGGAGTTTTTAGGAAACCCCGATTCTGACTGCACCCCAGAAAACTGTGTAACTTGTAACCAACACTTCAGAGTCTCTAGCGAAGACACCAGTGACTTGAATACAGCCTGAGAATCTGATATTTGTTGTGCTATCCTCTAAGAGACTCTCTCTTGGCATTCTCTCATGGAGCTAGTAAGCACTGGTTTCTGCTATCAAGGTAGAGGGGCCAGCCAGATTCTCCCAGGTTCCAGGTGCTTCCCGTTGCCATTGAGATGCCAGTGAGAGCTCCTTACTTCCAGTCCAGCTTTCTGTACCCCTGGCATCTTCACATACCTGCATCTTTGGCTTCCAACAAGACAGAGTGAAGAAATGCTAAGGGCCTGTTGGAGATCTTATTCGTAAGGAGTGTCCCCCACTGTCCTTTAAGACTTTAGGAATGGGTACTCAGAAAGCAGTATTGGCTGTTAAACTAGTTATCATTCACAAGTCTAAAAGCTCTGTGACGGTCCATTTTTCCATAGGGACATTCCAGCTACATCACACACCTTGACTGGTCCCCAGATAACAAGCATATAATGTCTAACTCGGGAGACTATGAGATACTGTACTGTAAGTATGAACGATCCTATGTGGGCTCAGATGTGTCTGCCAGTGACACTAATGATCAGGCTATGTGGAATTTGAATTGTGCGGAGGGTAAATGCTGGCTTTAAGGCATATGTTACTCAGGGTTCAGTGATGAGACTCAAATGTGGTCCATTCTCCCAAGAAAGTAATGAATTTATTTTAATGGCGTAGAACTGAAGACACATGTAGTAAGAAATTACTCAGTGAGGTTGATGCTGCTCTGAATGGTTTTTCATTTAACAACTTTTCCTGGAATCAGGGAAGAGTAAAATGAATAGGCACTTATTTTTTAGAGAAAACTTCTATGGGAAACAATTTATATAGTTCTATGGAACCCTGTTAAAGTAAACACTTTGTTTTCCTTTTCAAGTGTGTCTTAATGTTTTCAGTGTATGGATTATAATTACAAGTAAGCGTGGCTAGTTTGAATCAAGATGCACTTTCAAATACATTTGTACACCAGCACATGATTATACCTCCTGTTTCTAAATTTAAAGGGGACATTGAAAAGAGCTGCAAACTAATCAGGAATCGATCGGAATGTAAGGACACTGATTGGACGACATACACCTGTGTACTAGGCTTTCACGTCTTTGGTAAGAATGTAACATCTCATGAGAAGAAACAGTTTGTAAGGTTTTCATATGTCTACGTGCTTAAATATATAAATGAAAAATATTTAATGTTAATCCCCATTAGTCAAATTCAAAAAAATTAAATGTATTGAAATTTAACCAATATGGGATTTACTCTCTGCAGAACCCAACACTTCTGGTCACCAATAAATATGAAAGAAAACTGAAAGGAATTTACATAGTAGGGCAGATTGCATTCTTATTTTTTTCCTGAAAGTGAAAATTGACCCTTCCAAATTGGTAAAGCCATTTTTTAAAAAAAGCAACAGATTTATTGAGATTTCATTGAAATACTGTATAACTTAAAATTTATTGTACAATTCAGTGGTTTTTGTATATTTAAACTTGTGAGATTATCATTATGGTCTAATTTTAGAACATTTTCATCACTGAAATGAAATCCTGTATCTGGGAGATGTACATTTACCATGTCCCTTCTGCCTAGCCACAGAAACACTCCATTGATTTTCCTATTCTGAATAATTCATATAAATGAAAGCATACAATATGTGATCATTTAGACAAGCTTTTCTTTAGTATAAGTTTTGGTGAGCACATATCAGTACTTGATCTTTGGCTGAATGGTGTCGTTTGTATAGATACATACTGCATTTTGTTGATCCATTCATTGATTTGTTAATCTAATCACTTAGGATGTTTCCACTTTCCATTTATTATAAATCCTGCTGTGAACAATCATGTTTTTTTGTGAATGTGTTTTCATTTCTTTTGAATATACCCTGAAGAGTACAATTGCTGGTTTAAAAATGGTAATTATGTTTATCTGTTGAGGAACTGGCAGACTGTTTCATTTCTAGCAGTGGTATATGAGGGTTCCAATTTCTCCATGTCCTTATCAATGTGTGTAACTCTTTTTGTGTGTGGATGCAGTGTCCCAGTGCTATTTATCAGGCTCTAAGGGCATTTTTAGTAGACAACATTTAAAGATAAAATTTGGAGATTATTCCTAGTGTTTTGACATTATAGAAATCTGTCCTCTGTGACAGTTTTTTAAGCCTTCCCCATCTTTAGATATCTTCCTGAAAGGCTCTGAAGATAAATGAAAAAATTAAAATAACAAACCCTTTTGTAAAGAATTAAAAATAGATATTACTCAATAATTAAAATGCCAGTGCCCAAAGCAAATACCCAAAACTCTTGTTCCTTCACGAGCACACCCCAATCTTCTGATCATAGATCCGAGCATGTTTTTATGCAGTGTGTGTTAAAAAACTAGGCCAGCATACTTCATTTATCTAAATACAGGTGTTACCAGGATGGAGAGTAGGCTAGGAAGAAACAAATCGAAATCCTGACTTGTTTATATATAATTTTCATTATTCTGGATGAGACTCAAGTAATAACCAGTGATTGGTAACTTCCCTGCTTATTTTAAGGAGGCAGTAGGAAATGCAAATTTTAAAGGCGTTTTGCCTTATTTTTAACAAATTTCCAAAAACATACTTGTTGTCTAGAGTATCACTCAGCCACAGGAAACCCAGAAGTTCCATAGTTTTAATCTAGCCCAATAAGTTTATGCTAATTATTTTGAGTAATCAGCAGTACCTGCCTCATAAGGATTCACAGTGTTTATATTTGGTATGTCTTACCTTTGATGTAAATGTTTCCAGGAAAATTCTGTGGGATGCCGTGCAGGGCCAGTGGGTGGCCTGTTCACTGCCATAAGAAAGAAGGTCTCTGGGGTTTTCTTGGAGGTCTCTGGGGTTTTCTTGGAGGGACCTGCCTGAAAAGGAACCTAAAAAACCGCTGCTGTAGCTCAGATTTTGCACACTGCTATACAAGTAACTGAAAACCTTTCCTCTAGTGAGGAAACTAAAAAAGAGCTTATTATTGAGGTGAGATGAGCTGCAGTTAATTTATTAGCACCACCTACTGGTTACTACTGAGTACTCTTGAGTCTAAATTTTCCATCTGGAGACTAACATACATAGCATCACAGTTAAACTTTTTAGGCTAACTTTTTTACACCCTACATTTCTGTATCAAAGGTGTCTGGCCAGAAGGATCTGATGGGACAGACATCAATGCACTGGTACGGTCCCACAACAGAAAGGTGATTGCTGTTGCCGATGACTTCTGTAAAGTCCATCTGTTTCAGTATCCCTGCTCCAAAGCAAAGGTAAAGTGTTGGTAGGTCCTTTTGTTGGGAGGATAATTTTGTGTCACTGGAAAGAAAATACCTGCAAAATTAGTAGTTCCTCCCCATGACACCACACTGCCCAGGGGGACAACAGGGTCATCTGCTCGCATCCCACAGACACTGCTTCTCTTCTCCTTCCTCATTAAGCAAAGGATAGGACAGCTGGAGAGTTGACAACTGGTGTTTTATTCCTTAATCCTATTTCCTAAGTCACTTTATAATCCTGCCAACCTAGGAAATGCTCCTCTCGCCATCTTAAAGAGTAGCTTTGGAAAAAAAAAGAGTAACTTAGGCCATGGTGAGTATATTATTGCTGCACATCTGAGAAAGGCAGACATCATATGTTTTTCTGTTTTTGTTTTTAACATATAGAGTGAAAGTACAGAGGTCCAGTTATCTCCAACCCACCACCACCACCTGCCTGCCTAGGGACTGAACCTAGGACCTTCACACTGAGCCACATCCTGGTGGTTTTTTTTTTTTTTTTTTTTTTTTTTTTTTTTTTTTTTTTTTTTTTTTTTTTTTTTTTTTTTTTTTTTTTTTTTTTTTTTTTTTTTTTTTTTTTTTTTTTTTTTTTTTTTTTGGTTTTGGTGGAGGGTGGGTTCCAGGTGTCAAACTCAGGACCTTGTGCTTGTGTGGCAGGCACAGCACCACTGAGCTAAATACCCTGCTTTTAATTTTTCAGACAGTCTCAAACTTGTGATCTCAAAATGCTAGGATTACAGACAACATACACCACTACACCTAGCTGTTGTCTCCTTTTATATAATAAAGAGGTATTAAGAGAAAATTGCTAATCTTATCCTTAGATTTGACAACTTGGGTCTCCAATTTACCTGTGTGACAAGCTGAGTTACCTGCCTTACCTATTAATCTCCATTGCTGTAAGCAGGCATGTAAGCAATGGGTTTAATTTTGTCTGCCTCATTTCTTTCTTACAGGCTCCCAGTCACAAGTACAGTGCCCACAGCAGCCATGTCACCAATGTCAGTTTTACTCATAATGATAGTCACCTGATTTCAACTGGTGGAAAAGACATGAGCATCATACAGTGGAAACTTGTGGAAAAGTTATCTTTGCCTCAGAATGAGATTTTAGCAGATACTACTTTAACAAAAGCCCCCACTTCTTCCATCGAAGGTGTCATCCAGTCTGACACCTGTATACCACCCCCTTTCCAGCCCTTAAGTGACACAGCTGAAGAAGACAGCAGAATAAGCAATTCTCCCACACTCCTGGAGAACAGCCTGGAGCAGACTGTGGCACCGAGTGAAGACCACAGCGAGGAGCAGAGTGAGGGTGGCAGCGAAGAGCTGGGGGAGCCCACCAACGAGGGGCTGGTCAGTGAGGTGGGCGAGGGGCAGAGGGAGGACCAGCGGGAAGCCTCCCCGCTGCCCTAAGTCCCTTGCTTCTGCACCGCTCCTCCTTAAGCAGCATGGGATTTTGTGGTCAAGTACAGATAATGGGACGAACAGTGATGGAGAATCACTATGGATAGAGATTTTGTTTTCCACATATCTCCTTCCTTCAGTACCCTCAGTCTTTCAGATACAGCCATCCTAAAGATTGTTTGGTGTATGTTGAAAATTAGCCAAACTTAATAGTAGAAGACTGAAATATTAATTCTGTCTCGGAAATCACTGTGTTTGTAAGAGGGATGATGTAAATACTGGAAACAAAAGCAGCAGTTGTATTGATTGAAATAAATACCCTTGGTATCTGAATGCCTTTTCTTCAGGAATAGCCAGAGACATCACACACACTGTTACTCATCTGCTGGCCCAGACACCACTCTCCCTGATGCAGGAAAAAGAACCTGGAGCAGGGATGTGCTCTTACTGCAATGTCTTCCCACCAAAGTCTAATGGAAATTTTTCAATTAAGAAAAACTTCAGTATTGCCCAGTGCAATGATGTTGCCTTCTTGAATAATAATGACTTGTTTTTTTACACTACCAGTAGATGTCCAGATGTGCTTGTTAGTCTACTATATAGGTGCTGCCTTTTCTAAGTTAAAACAAGGAAGTCCTTAATTTCTGGTGTGCAAATCTGTTTTATCCTAGAACCAAGAGAGCATTGGTTTGTTGAAGAGCTTTTAATGTATAGTAAACCATTGATACTCAGAAATGTTAGATTCCTCCAAGGAGTCCTTAACTGGCTTAAACATTTTCTAATGTTTGGCATTCAAGTGAATGGAAGAAACCGCATGCCTTTAAAACTAAGCTGTAATAATTACCTGGCTAATTTTAGCTTAGCCTTCATTATTTGTTCCCTCAACAGGAGAAATATAAACACAGTAAGTGTAAGTGATTGAATTGGTGCTTGAAATCCATTTGTTTAATTGTAATTTTCTTACAAGTTAATTATATTGAGGCATAGGATATTCAGCAAATTACAAATTCTTTTTTTAAACAGAAGGGTGAATAATAGTCACAGTAATTTTTTATAAACTATGTACTTCACAGATTTACTGTATGTGGTAATTGTTTCTGTTGAAGTTGGCAAGCCTTGCAAATCCAATGTAGCTGTCTTCTGTTTTGAGCAATGCGTGTATTTCGCTGCATTGGAAAGTTTTGGGGTTTTTTTGTTTGTTTGGTTGGTTTTTTGGGGGTTTTTTTTGTTTTTTTTTTTTGTTTTTTAGTTTTGTCAAACTTTTTCTTATGTATGTTTTTCCTACTTTAAGTTCTGACAAATATGTATTTCCTATATATTTGTTTATACTTTGATTACAAAATTTTTTTTATTTTTTAACTTGCAGTGTTTTGATACTCTTTTTGTCAGATCATGTTTAGCAGCTTTGGGTGAGTTCGTAAGTCTTAAGTATGCAAGAGTTTACGTGATTGTGCCATTCCAAAGTGCATCAGAACTGTCATTCCCTTCTAGTATCTTCTCAGGAGTAATGCATATCAGGTATTTCATCATCGTTTGGTATATGGAAACTCCAGTGAGCTCCCAAGGACACTTGCAACATTATATTCACACGTTGTATGGAAGGGTGTGGGTGTGTGTGAAGGGGCGAGTGGACACAGTTTGTGTGCATCTCTAGACAAGAAGACATGTGCCACATCGAAGATACTCAGTGTGGATCTCTGTGTGTATAGGTATATGTCTGTATATCTCTTTCCTTTTGTTTACAACTATTTTTTTTTTAAACCTCAAAGTAGTTCTCTTCAAAAGAAGAGATTCCAAGCAACCTGACTTTTCTCAGTATGTTCTGTATATAGTTGGCAGAGAGCACCAGTGAGGATCAGGCCTACAGCCACCTGTCAGCAATGAGGATGAAACCGTCGGGTCAGCACGTGCTGTCCCCTGCAAGCCAAATACTACAAGAACGAGCAATTCTAGGAGAAAGGGCCTCCTTTAGGTACCTGGAGGATGCAGCTCTCCATGATAAGCAGGGGTCTGAGGACATCAGCCACCTTTGGGGTTGCCATGTACGTGAGATTTATAATCGTAATACTCTTGGGTGGCAGTTTCCAAAGACACTACTAATACGCAGAAAGCGTTCCAGCTATCTAATGCTGGCAACTACTGTTCAATGGTCAGTCAAATCTGTGATAATGGTTGGAAGTGGGTGGGATTATGGAATTGTAGATGTTTTTAGAAAAACTTGTGAATGAAAATGAATCCAACTGTTTCATGTGAAGATGTTGAGCCATTTCTATCATGCATTCCTGTGTCATGGCAGAAAATTTTGAAGATTAAAAAATAAAATAATCAAAATATTTTCTTTGCCTCTCTTAACTCTTAATTTATACTTCTGGCTTCCTTAATTATCCACTTAGCAGAAGACACAGCAGTTCAGAAGGAAACATCAGTTGAGTGCTGCTGCAGGTAAGGCCATTCTCGTAGTAACAAATTCCATCTCGTAACATTACAGGAAATTACTTCTGATTTATGCTCCCACTTGGTAGGGGAATAGCATAGCTTAGTTTATGTCACACCCACACGTCCGCTAATGTTTAATATTGGATTATCCTGGTGATCCTGGTTACCTGCTGCCTCCTAGTGTTGGCTTTTCTAAGTACCTGAACTTGAGGCCCCTTAACCCTTTCCTCTGCTTAGTAGCACAGATCCTCCGAACAATAACCATAAAAATGGCTGCTGCAGATTTTCTATGAATTAATATGTTGAGAATATTCCAAACATTCTGTAGTTTTACAGTCATGAAAATGATGGGATTTTCATGATGGCATTGCTCAACTTTAATGACAGTATGTCCAGCCACTCATACATACTGGCCCAGGTGAGGCCGTCCCAGGGTTGGAATTCCTCTTTCACTGATTCAGAGACAGGATGGCTGATGGACCCAGAACAAACCACTGACTAAACAATGTGCTTTTTCTTAAAAACTAAGGAAATTTAGTAAACTAATCTGTAGGGTTATATGACAAATTAGTTTTTGAACACATCAAGATGTTTTAATAGAACTTCTAGAATGTTTTAATAGAACTTGTAGAAGGAACTAGGTCCTCAGTTTATTTCACTTCACTTCCGCCTTTTGAAATAAAGACAATACGTTTTAGGAGCAGAATAGCATGTGAATCCAATTTCTGTCATTGCAAGGAGCACCCACTGCAAGGCCAAGACTACCACAGCCCTAGCTCAGCAATGCTGTGGCAAGACACTGCCCGGTAGCTTTGTAAGTTCAAAGCTTGCACCGCTTCCACTAGCCTGCGAAAGATACTCTGAAATAGGAAGCAGCAGCCAGGTATGGTGGTGCATACCTGTAATCCTAGCTACTCAGGAGGCTGAGGCAGGAGCACTGAGTTCAAGACGAGCCTGGGCAGCTTATGAGACTGTCAAAAAATATATGCATCAGGAGAAAGAAAGTACAGGTAGAAATTAAAGTGAGAAAAACTTACAGGACCAACAAAAGTCTCAGCCCTTGTCCTGGAGTCAGGACCCCACTCCCCTCAGTGATGCTACACATCTGATGTCGCTGAAGTCAGTGCTCCCAGGTGCCCACATCTGATGTCTTCCAGGAACATGGAAAAGTGCAGGTGGTTTTCCTAAATTAAAAACAAGCATCACTTTGCAAAGGAGTCGCTCTGGGCTACAGTCATGAGATTCAGCTCAGGTTCCCAGGCACACCTTTTCCAAAGGGAACCTTGACTTCTACTCTCGGTAATAGGTCCCTGTAGCTTTAAAAGCTCTAATACCAAGAACAAACTTCCCAGCCAAGGAAGGGATCGGCAGGAAAAGCAGGCCATCCCAAATGAACCAGAGTTGCCCTGTCTCCTCTGGAAGTGCCCAACTGTCTCATTTCTGTACCCACTGTCCTTTCATGGGTAAGGTCCATAAAAATTATACCAATCCAGAGATTTGGTAGAAAAATTTGGTGCCACATCTGTGACTCAAAGGATGAAAACAAAAACGGGCTAAAATGAAACCTAGGTACTCACTCATTGGTTAAGATCTGGGACAGCCATACAGCTAGATGCGCCACTCAGCATCAGACAATGCCATGCGTAACGTACTTTAGGCTTCTCAAAGATCCTAAATTCTACTATTGCCACTTTATCGATGGGGAAACAAGGAACAGGGGAGCCAAGTAACTGTCCTAGATTCATAGCAAATGGCTGAGGCACAATGTGAAGACGAACAGAGAGATCAGGCTTTAGGAAGGACCTGCAGAGTGTCACAAAGTTGAAGGGGCCGCTCATGAACAGATCCTGTCTAGCCACTGTGGGGCAGAGAAGCCTCCAGGCTTAGTACATGTGACACCTGCTGCCTGCTCTTCCTGCCTTCTTTTACCAAAGGCCAGTGAAGGTGGCCTTAGTCCCAGGTGTTCAATTTAAATATTTGTGTGAAGATTATGCCCTCATTTTGAAGGCTCTGATGACTGCCACTTCACTAAGTTGAGTATGGCACCTCTGTCGTTAGCTGAGTGCTCTTTACACTTCACACCTGGTCCTCATCCATCCCACTCTTCCCATGACCAGCCTGGGGTCATTCCAGCCCCACGAACAGCCACAGGGCTTCAGGATTGATTCCCTTTCAGCAGTATAATCATGCAGTTCTGAAAGGCGGCTTTCCTCAAGAGCCATCCTCCAACCCAGATGAATATGGATGGCTACTGGTGCTGATGACTAAATTCCTCAGTGGGATTAAGCAAAATCTATTCAAAGGCCGATTTCAACTCCTGACAATGTGTACCTTCATAAGATCACAGTAAAGAAACAAAAAATGGTGCCATAAGAAGGGCCTTGGGAAGAAAAACAATTCTGTGATCAACATCCTCAGACCTGGTCATCCCATTTCATTCTTGACCTAATCACCAGAGTCGGGGCACATGAGAAAGGTCACTGGAGCCTCTGGAGCCCACCGTCTGCAAAGATGCACCCACGCATGTGGGCAGTGACGCCATGTAAGCCGCACTGGGCTGGGCTCATGTGCTCCCTGCTCAGAAGCTAGCATTCTCTCCCCTTGTCAAGAGTACAGCTCTGTTTCAATCAACATAACTAATTTGGATGTCCAAATAAAGCAGCTGCTCTTCTCTAGCCTGTTTCTCTACAAGAAAAGTGGATTGTGTGGCCTCCGCCTTGCAGTGTGGTAGCCAGTGTGCCTTCTGGGAAGCCTCCTGGACTGAGGACATACAAAGGCCCTGACTTGGCCAGGGGCTGCAGCTCATGGTAGAGGACACATTTAGCAAGCCCTGCATTCAACCCTCAACACCAAAAATCACAGACCTGCCCTGTGCAAGGAACTGTGCTAGGCTCAACAGGAATCCAAAGAAAAAGATGTAGCCCCTGACCTCAGAGGGCATATAATCTAAAAATTATAATAATTAAGGCTTGCATATTTGAGAATTGGTATATGACAAAGTCAGAAGCTATAATGTATAATTTGAAATGTGGAAAATAAATTATTCCTACTAAAGAACCTTGGATTGGTCATCTATTAAAACCTATCATTATTAAATTCTAGAACTGATATATCATTAAGGTATTTTTTTGTTTTTTTTTTACTTTTGTAGTACTTGGGATTGAACTCATGGTCTCAGGCATGCTAGGCAAGTGCTCTACCACTGACTTACAGCCCCACCCTTTTTATTTTTTGAGACAGGGTCTCTAAGTTGCCCAGGGTGGGCTCAAACTTGTCATCCTCCTGCCTCAGACTCAAAGTTACATTTTGATATTTTAAAAAATAGGGCCAGGGGCCAGGGATTTAGCTCAGTGGTTCCACCCACCTGCTATGCAAGTGCAAGGATCTGAGTTCGATCCCCAGTACTGGAAATAATAATAAAATAATGATGATAACAACTGACTGCACACCTATAATACCAGCATTCGAGAGGCTGAGGCAGGAGGATCACCATGCTTTCAAGGCCAGCCAGGGCTCCTTAGTGAGTACAAGGCCAGGCTGAAATAAAAATTAAGACCCCGTCTCAAAAAAACAAAACAATATGAGAAAAGGAAAAAACAAACAAAATCTTCGTAAATAGGGGTGGAAGAGAGGGCAGGGAAATGGGGAAAAAATAAGAACCAAGATACATCTTGTAAAGGTACAAATTCCCAATGATGAATCTCATCATACTGTATACCTAAAATGTACCAATAAACTTAATGAATTTAAAAAATACATTATTGGGCCAAGGATTTAGCTCAGCGGCACTATGCCTACCTCACAAGCGCAAGGTCCTGAGTTCAATCCCTGGTGGTGCACACCTGTAATCCAGCCCTCTGGAAGACTGAGGCAGGAGGCTCCCAGTAAGGGTCAGGCGAGGCAACTTAGCAACATAGTGAGGGTTTGTCTCAAAGTAAAAAAATAACGGCTCAGAATGTAGCTCAGTGTGAAGCCCCTGGGTCAATCCCCAGTATCATCAAAAAAAGAGAAAATTATACAGTATATATACTGTATTATTTTTTTCCATCTAATTGGAATACTGCCATAAGAAATACACCCTGACACACGCAAACTTGGGATGACTTTCAAGACATTATGCACAGTAAAAAAAAAATCTCAAAAGTTGACAAATTACAAATTTGCACTTAAATGCCATTTTTGAAACGACTAAAGTATAGAGACAACAGATTAAGAGCTGCCAGGAGACAGGAATGGAGGGGAGAGATGCAACTACAGAAGGATAGTACTTGGGGCTCCCTTATGGATTGAACAGTTTGCCTTCTGAGTACAATGCACAGAATCAAATGTCACAGAACTGCACACATGCACAGGAATGCATACAGAACTGATGAAAACGGTAAGATTTACAGTCTCAATTCAAATTACCTGGTGTTGATAGCATAGTTACTCTAAAATGTCACCAATGGGGAAAACTAAGGGGAGACTTCTCAGGCCTCTTAATTTTAAAAGCTTCCTGTGAGTCTATCGTTATTTTAAAATTTAAAAATAGTAATGGTGCAGAAGCTTTGCCTTTGTGCTTTTGAAGGGAACATGGAAGAGAAAAGGTGACTGTACAACAAAGCCTTTTTATGCCATTTCTGACCTTGTGCACTTGAACTGCTCAGGTTAAGTGGACATGGGCGCTGGGTGGTATCTGCTGCTGTTCTAGCCTCGCCTGCTGTCCAGGTGTCAGGAGGGTCCTAGACCAGGCTGAGCGCTGAAAGCTCGGCACCCAGGAAAACAGGCGACAACCTGAGCACACTGCCAATTCATCCTCAATAACAGGTGGTTGGTACAGGTTCAAAAATCTCGTACTCAAAATGCTCAGAACCAGGAAATATTTCAAATTTCCGT